GCGGCTACCTCTTCTTTAGCTTCTCCCATTGCAGTATCATTGAAGCACGCACCATCGGGAATAATATCATTGTTGTCCCATTGTTCTTCTTCACCTTCTTCCATTACAACGCCGGTTTCTCCGTGCTTCGTCCAACAAATATAGTTTGGCATGAAACCCGACTTGAACAAGTGTGAATGAAGAGTCCTTGAGTAAGGATATTCCACCGTATTCTTACATATAACACATGGGCAGCACATGAAACCGTCGCGTTTATTTGCCTCGGCCGCACGTAACAAAGAATGCACGCCGTCAATGAACTCTTGGGAGCGGCGATCAGCATTGTACATCCAATGCCGACTCATCTGCATTACATGACATAAATAACATATTAAAACCTAGATCATAATTAATTATTTATACAACATGCGTGCCACCACAAAAGATACAAATTTATGAAAGCATCGCTACAATGTAGACAATCCCAACTACCACTAAAAGAACTCAAGCTAAAATACATTTTAGGAGCACAAGGATTTCGCGACCAATCTCAACTAAAATAGACAGATCCCCCGATTGTGCAGCATCTTTGGGCTTCTTCGGCTGGATCACTATCTCATTAGCCGTCGTATCTGTCTGTTGTGCAAGATATTTTTGCACGAGTTCAACATACTCTTCCTCCCAGTAGAAGCCTAAACATCGTCCACTACCATCCCACTGAAATTAAAACAAAAAATTAGAACTTTAATCACAACCATCACGAAAATAGGTATAAACTAACCATAATAATAAAATACGATAAAATAACACACATTGCGATCCGGACACTTGTAGAAGATACGACCCTTGTTGGGACCCTCCTTCTTCACTCGGTACTCCATCATAATCTTCGTCTCATCACGACACTTGCCGCATGGAATGAGAGGGAGGCCTGGCCTAAGTCGCTTTGGAAACCCATGAGAGGCTGAGGATCCGGAAGCAGTTGCCATCTACTCTCTATACTCATTTTTAATACACTATAAATTTCTCATTTTATAAACAAATAAAATTAAGAAACTATAAAATTATCTATATATCTAAACAATGAAGTGTGCTATGCATGCTAGAAATAAAAAGTGAATACTAATTTTAAATACCTACTTTAACCTTTCTTCATCCAAATATGCAAACTATAAGTTATTTTGAGCTCAAATTGTTTACAAATAAAAAAAACACCATAAAAACAATATATATAGTGAATAATATGAGATAAGGCAATGATGAAAAATGAGAGTATGAGATTGGTAACATTTACAACTGAAGAATTGACAGAGAAATCAAAGAAATCGACGGAGGAACAATGGAGGGAGGAAGCAAGAACACTAGTGCAGTGAGCTTCAAAATGTGCTGAGCTCGGGCTCAGGGAGGAAGGAGATGGCCGGGATATAAAGGGGGGACCTTTAGTCCCGGTTGATGGCTCCAATCGGGACTAAAGGTAACTTTCCAACCCCCAGCGCAGCCATGGCCCGGGAGTAGACCTTTACTCCTAGTTGGAGCCACCAACCGGGAGTAAAGGTCTACCTTTAGTCCCGGTTGGTGGCTCCAACCGGGACTAAAGGTCCCTGCCACCTCTGTCTGGCGCAGTAGCCATTGGACAGGGACCTTTAGTCCCGGTTGGATCCACCAACCGGGACTAAAGGTCTCTCTAGTCCTGGGCACTAAAAATGCCGGGACTAGAGCCCATTTTGACCAAGGATCAAAAGTCTGTTCTCTACTAGTGATAACTGGATTTTTGGATGCCCCCTCTGGACTAGAGTCGAGGATTCCCCTCGGGTCCCACCTAACACTAGGTGGGGACTACCCTGAATGCCAATTACAAGTTTTGAATGGCTGCAATTGAGGCGTAAGGCTTGTCGCAGTTGCTCTCTCCGAATAAGATGTTAGGCAGACAAATTCTGTTGTGAGGTTGATTTGTTCAAATTCTTATTACCAATAAATTTTTTAGAGATATTTTTTTGAATTATCACAAAGTATAGACGTAGATGTCTTCAGACACATGTGTGCACTTACCTCTATAAAAGGTCACATGTGAATCGTACTCCCACCTTTGAAAGACCAAGCTGGAAGATCGACGTACACGTTGTCTATCACTATAATATCAACATCATTAAATTCTAAAATAATTCTAGAAAAATTCAAACCTCCATACTAAGTCGAGGACTTGAACCCAAATAGATAAGTTTCACCACAAGAAATAGTGTTGTCTTTGATATAAGTAACTAAAATCCTACTCATATTTATATAAATAAATATATATGATGCGACTAATAGATTGCTAATACAAATACTATATGTTAGGTCGATGACAAGAAAGTAATTTTAGAAACATTATCAAAATATATTTCCTACACCTTTGCTATATAATACTTTCAAATTTTTTGTCAAAATTGCTTTAGCAAAAAAAAAGTAGCCTTATCTGCATTGTATAAGTAAAATATAAGTAAAGAAAAACACATTGTATTCATAGACAGAGGGATTATCTATTATGCCATTGTAAGATTTTTGTAAATAAACCATGTGCAATGCGAAAATATAGTTAGAATAATTGTCACTAAGTTGTACTCCATTGGTCCACATGTTTTGTGTTTTCAAGGCAAATTAAGCAGTAAGGGAAATGTCATTCATTCACCTTTTAGTTATAAAAGCAAACGATATATATAGCTCTTACTAGTGCAACTACAAGCCTTAGATGGCATGGTTTAAGGCTTAGGTTCTCATTGGACTATTAGCCAATTAGTATAACCTAGCTACTAGGCCAATTGGAACAACAGCTAATGGTAATGCTTAGACCGCAGAAATATTTAGGGCATGTTTAGATCCCATGGTGTTAGTTACTAAAATTAGTTCTGGTCGATCCAAATACTCTAGGTAATAGCCTAACTAATATCTTAAAATGGAATATTTTTTTGAGGAATCATGATGGTCAAGAAGCCCCTAATGTTTAAGCATAAATATTAAAAATGATTAAGTCTAGAGGAAAACAAAGGAGGAATTCAAGAGACAAAGAAAGAAAATATAAAAATGAAAGAAAGAAAATGGGGGAAAGTTACAAAAGATTTTCTACCCATGAACTTGATGTGGAGCTACTTCATTCGTTGTTCTTTGCAACAATGTATGCAGTTCAGAAGTGAAAGTTCTCTTGGAGTCGTTGTGCTTCGTTGAAACCTTTTGAATATTAAGTTGTTTCTTGCCATCCAAATAGAGAATGAAAACATTGATTAAGAAAGGGACATTAAATTGTTGCCTAAAATCTTCCACTACTTGAAGAATTCATCTGATAGTTGAAGTTGGTAAGGCTCCAACAACTTTTCTTTTTGCAAAAGGAGAGGAAACAAAGAGATGCTTCATAGTTTTGTTTAGTCCTTTTCTGGCAAATAAGACAACTGATGTCATCGATTTACTTGTAATTCTTTCTTCTGAGAATGTTTCTAGTACTCGGTCTATCTTTTAAAAGAAGTCAGGAAAAACTTTTTGCTTGCATTGACATGAAGAATTCCATAACCGTTTAAAAGCAACATGGATAGAGCAATGTCCTATATGAACTTTGTATGCCTTGGAAGAAGCAAAATTGTTGGACCTCCAAATATATGGCCAACATGGATTTTGAGAGAGAATTAAGCTCCTTAGAATTTCTTCCAAATGCTGCAATTGTTGGAAGACCTCTACTAAAAGTGGGAGGTTGAAGAGATCAATTATTGCTAAAACCATATGAGCCTTTGCAAGAGATATTGATTTGTTCTTTGCAGCGGAAAAAGTTCTGGAAATTACAGTTTCTAGACTTGGCCACCCCAGATCAACCCAAAGAAAACAACTTTTACCGTCTAAAACAATCACACTGGCCATACTTTTTAATTTATCTAGAGGCTTAAGGTTATCATGTCATCAGAATGATCCTTTCTTCACATGATTTGCTGGGAGCTTACCATTTGTGTAATATTTTTCCCAAATTAATTGCACCCAAGGAATGTCTTGCCTATTGAAAATTTTGTGAAGATTTTTCAATTGTAAAGCTTCATTTTGAGTTTTTAGTTTTAGCACACCAAGACCTTCATATTTTGGGTGACAAACCATTTCCAAGACAACTTTATTAGGAGATTTCCTGTCATTTGCTTCTGTATCTCTCCAAAGACAATGCATTTTGTATTTATCAATGCTTAATCACTATTGCTGGCAAGGTAAGAATGCACATATAAAAGGTGGGCAACGAAGAGAACACCGAGTTTGTCAGTTCCAATCTGCCAGCTTGACTAAGAAAGGTGAAGTGAAGGACAACCTCTTTCACATCAACTGATCAAAGGAAGAAATTCATCCACTCTAGGCCAAGATAAATAAAAGGGAGGGAACCTTTTGAGCAACCAAAAATTCAGCCAAAGCTTCTCATCTGAGACATTTATGGACTATTTAGCTAATAAAAAGCTATTAACTGCCATTATTTACCTAATTGCCATCAACTATTAGTTGGGGGATCCAAACAAGGCTCAACTAATATGTCAGCTAATAGACCCGCTAACAATTAGCTGCGTTGATCCAAATAAACCCTTATATTTATGGATAAATTTTAAATGTCATAAACACTTTTAATTGTGGAACCGCAAATTTCTATAATTATTAAAAAATTGCAACTCTGCTCCAATAAAAAGAAATTCCAGCTTTGATCGTCATATTAGCTAGTACTCCAACAAAACTAAAGATGCATATCTCGGTAGGAGGCTCAAAGCCAGATTGATAACAAGGGTTTGCCTTTTTGGCATGACATGCATAGCGGCGTGTCATACTCATACACAATGGCAAAATACAAAGAGCTGCTGGTATGGAAAAGGCAAAGTTTTCCTGGCTTGAAAGTACAAGAAAGATTGCTAGGACAAGCTTAGCTTATTACACAACACAAGGAAATGGTACGTCAGGAAACAAAACCAAGCAAATAAACTTAGTTCAAGCAAATTAAGTCTCAAACGTACGTGCAATATAGTTATATACTGCCTTTACTGGAGCTGGGTGCTTCTGAAAAGCTCCAGGCAGTGCTCCTGCTCCAGGCTCCTGCTCCAGAACTTCTTGTAGTACTCGTCGTAGGTGTAGCTCCGGTACACGGGCACGTCCCCGTCGCGGACGAGCGCCGCCGCGGGGCTGATCACCGCGCTGTTGCACGGGCACAGGAAAGATGCCACCGACATGCGCTCTCGCGCGGCGTTCACCACCGCACGGTGCCACACGCTCTTGTACGCGCCGTTGCTTAGCGCCTGCGTATGCATGTGTATAAATGAGCACATCGAAACCCAAGGCATCAATTTGAGAACAGCTAGCGTCACTACGTACGTACGCGTTACCTGTAACTGATCGCCTAGGTTGACGACGAAAGCGTTTTGCAGGGGGCTGACGGCGATCCATTGGTCGCCGCCCTTGAGGACTTGAAGGCCGGCAACGTTGGGGTCCTGGAGGAGGATGGTGAGGGCGTTGGGATCCGTGTGCTTCGGCAGACCGTAGGTGAGCTCGGGCTCCGGGCACTGCGGGTAGTAGTTCACGGCCATGTGCTGCTCCTGCTCGCCGAGGGCCTTCTCGATGTAGTCCTCCTCGAGGTCCAGGCTGAGGGAGATCATGCCGAGAAGCCGGAGACCGAGCAGCCTGACCTCGCGGCAGTACGCGCTGGCTATCTCCCTGCCGAAAATTGGAACGGAAAATTCCTCCATGTCAGTCCTCCATGCGCGTTAGAAAAAGAGACAATGTTAGAAATCCCACAAGAATAACATCCATTGTTGATGAGAACCACTATTGAATCTGATTTGTTTCTTACCCACCTTTGCGGTAAAAAAAATAATGATAAATAAAGTGACCCCTATATATATTAAAATTACTAATCTCTAGCATTATGATCATCATCATCCACGTATAATGCTCCTAAGTTATCTACACTCCTACCTTTTGCCACAAAAAAAAAACTACTCATGTCATTTATGATATATGGAAAAACTAAATACATGAATGATACATGCATGATGTCACCATGAATGCAAACCACACATGCATGCATCATGCATGCATGCATGGAGCTACCAACATAGCAATCATAAAACTTTCTTTAAATGAATCATATGCAAAGCCAATAACATGACAAAACCATGTGAGTTGCTACCAACATAGCAATCATAAAAAATTCTTTAAATGAATCATATGCAAAGCCAATAACATGACAAAACCATGTGAGTTGCTACTTTAGGTTGACTAACAAAACATGGTCGTGCGTTGCCACGGGAGAAAAAATTATCATATGTTTATGGAAACGATAACGAGAATTGTACACACGCACACACAATAATATACTATAAGTTAATGACGGTAATAATGTATCGATATCCTATTAACATGTATCGAATTAAAATACAATCTTGATAGATTTCTTTTTTCCCAATGCAAAGCATATGGATATATTTAGATGTATTATCATAACTAATAAACTTTAATTTTCATACTATTCATGTGTTGTAATAGTTTAATATCGTGTGGACCATCCATAGTTCTAATACTTATAATTATTATGACGGGAGACCTCTCACAATTTTTTCACGTGACAGCCCTCGTCGGGGATTATAGGGTTATATTTATTTAGACTAAATTATGCAACAAACTACTTAAGAGATTTCAGTTATACTAGGTGTAGATGTATAGATATAAAATATAGATTATACGTAGACGCTTAATGCACACATTTTTAGTAGAAATCCTTAGCGTATGAGATATTGACACTACGTAGATGCTTAATGCACACATTTTCTGTAGAAATCTCTAACGTATGAGATAGGGACACTACGAAGAAAATAGGATATACATGTTAATTTCTATAGTCTAATGTATTCACGTGAACTGTCTGCTAACGTGACCGAATTGAGTTAGAAATCTATTCAATCTATTAACATATCAGAATCAACCTAAATGAACTTCGAGAAGTAGATATAGATAGATTAGATATTTTTTAGCTTTTATAAGAAAAAATCAGAAAATACCAGAAAAGAAATAAAAAATAGGAAATAAGGATGAAAATGGGGAAACCAGAAATTAATAAAAAGGATGAGCTGCGGCTGCCATGCAAGAAAAATGGAAACGGACACCTAACAGCGAACGACCGAAAACATAAAAGGAAAAAGAGACCCGTATGGACAGAGATTTTATATTTGGATTAGGAATAAAAAACATAAAAGGGGAAAAAGACCCGTAGGACAGAGATTTTATATTTGATTAGGATAGGATGTGAGGAATCGAATCTATTTAGATTTGATTAGGATTAGGATTCCTATTTAGGTTATAAAAGCTCAACATATCGGAGAGATCTATTTATCCTAACTATCTAGGGGTTATATATGCCATGTTTGCTTGTCTTATAATCCGTACTTTTTGACTTGTTTTTTTAGCTGGAACAGTGTTTTTCTCTCACAACAAATCAGCCAAAATAGGATTTTAACTTGTTTTTTCAGCGAAGCGAACGGGGCCATAAGTCTAGATAGAAGAAACTCCCGACTACAGGTAGTTAGGGGGAGGTGGACAAAAAAAATGGATGGACGAAAAAAGTCTCCGGAATTTTTGTCATTATTAGGTATAGATTGATTATATATTTACTGTAGCATATCTATATTGACATCTTTAAAAAAGTTTTAAGAAAATAAATAAATGAGTACACTCATAGCTCTTTAATCTATCTGTCTCTTATAAAGCTAATCCCTACTATACATGCAAGACATCAACATCATCTCCCATTAACTATCCACATCAACTTTTGCTAATAGCTATGTTATGCCACTAACTTTCAATCTATTAATGCAGGCTATCCATGTCATCTCTACTTAATTTCATCCAAAATTCTTCGCAATCTCGACAGCAACGCGTAGATCGAGTATCTTCTAGGTTGTATGACATCTTTTTTTTTGATCCAACATACCTGTATTGATAGTTAAGGATACCATACAGGGACTCGTACAAATACAGATACGTTGATAAAGGATACAGAAGACAGCTGTTCCGAGCTAAAACCACAAAGGTCCCTAAAAACAAAGAAATTACAAGCCAGTCCTTGGAACCCCTGCAGCCCAAATCCTCCAGATTCCATCGCCGCTGGCCATCGCTGGAAGCCAAAAGCTGCCAACCACAGGTCGACCAGAGCTCCATCGCCAGCAGTCTTTGAGTAGAGCCACAGTAGACACCCACCATCTTGGATGAGATGAAGCAAACGCTGAGGATCCATCGGCCGAGGACGCGTCCCAAGCCTCGGTGACTCGGGGTGTAGACTCGCCATTGTCGTCTGACACCGCCATGGAACAACCAAGCCTGTAGCTCCACTCTCCTACTTTCCGCACAAACCGAAGCTGCCTCTCTATCCTCAGAACACAAGGCCAGGGAACTCACCTCCCGATGAGCCGCCAGCACCGGACTCCTGTACAGGGGATCCACAAAGGGAATCCCTCCTCCACGCCCACGTTGACGGCACCGGAGCGGAGCACCACCAAGACGGGGAAGAGAGCGAGAGGACCTTATTCCCTAATGCCGCCGCCGGAAACCTAAACCTAGATCTACTAGGACCTACAGGTTGTATGACATCTGGATTCATGCATGAAGTCGCAACAGTTAGTTGCAACAAGAGCCGTGCAGGTGGCGCGGACCACGCCGTCAGCCCGTTGGGCAGTCATGCATGTCAGCCAGCACAAACCCGCAAAGCAGCCCGCATTCTCAAAGCGGGTTTATGCGGCTAAACCCGTGTAACCCAATGGCACTGCTTCAACCCGCGTTCTCGCTGGTCATGATTGCCGCCGTTCGCGTCGGTCGTGCTTTTCTACCCTGCCCTCAGCCACAGTATCCTTCTCCTGCGGCGACCGCTTCCTCGTCCTCTCCTAGCTCTCTGCGGCGCACCTCGACTCCATGGGCAGCACAGCCTCTCCATCTCGCTGCGGACGCCGCGTCCATGGATCGAGACCTAGGCTGCCCAACGCTGAAGTGCTGGGGCTGGAGGTGCTGTCCGCGCATGACCTGCCGGCGGAGGCGGATTTGTTGTGACTGAAGCTAGCTCTGCATGTGGGCAATGAGCTCTTGTCCTTGCTTGATGTTCATGGACCATGGTTCTACTAGATCTCGTTAGGATGTCCTGTGAGTGTTGCCTGAAGAGAAGTTGTGTGCTCAATTGGCTTAATTTTTTATTTGAAAGACGAAACTATTGGCCCATAGGATCACCGGCACGGGTGAGTCAACCACTCACCAGCGTTGCCGACCATGACTATCGTTGTCCGACCACACACTATGTCTAGAGGTAGAAGAAGAGAGGAAGAACAGAGCACACACACAGCACAAGCACCAGCATTGGCCGGAGCTCTACAGAGGAGATGGCAAAACTGAACTCGCTCTCTTTACTGAGTTGCAGTGGCAAACTATATATACAACTCTATCCATCTAGTCCTAGTACAGCTGCCATGCTGCTACAGTGACTAGATGTGACAGCAGGGCTGACTCTGGCGCCTGCACTTGCTGTGGCTACAGTGCGGTAGGTGAGCCGTTTAGCGCCTGCCCCTGCTGTGGCTATAGTACCACAACATGGATCCTTTTCAGCGCCGCCTTCCCCTGCCGTGCGTTCACATAGGGATACAACAGATTATCTAACAATTCTTCCCCTAATCATACTGCTAACCCTTGAACCCCCTCTATGCCGATTATCTCCTTCAGCTCCGTGAACCGAAGACGGCCGAGCGGTTCGGTGAGGACGTCCGCGAGCTGCCGACCAGTTTCGACGAACTCGATGACGATCTGCCCTCCATCGACACAGTCCCTGAGGAAGTGGAACTTGACATCGATGTGCTTGCTCCGGTCGTGGAGAACCAGATTCTTCGCGAGGGCGATGGCGGGCTGGTTGTCCACCATCAGTGCTGGTGGGTGAGTTTCCACACCGGTCAGCTCGCCCAGTAGCCGGTGCAACCACACAGCTTGGCACACCGCTATGGCCACCGCCACGTACTCTGTCTCGCATGTAGACAGATCCACCACCTTCTGTTTCAGCGATAGCCCATGAAATTGGAGCCAACCCGAGGAAGACGAGCACGTCAGAAGTGCTCCGCCGTCCATCGATGTCCCCCGCCATGTCTGCATCGCTGAACACAGTGAGCTACAGCCTACTTCCACCGGTCTTTGGGGAAGACGATCCCCTGATCCACCGTCCCTTTGATGTAGCGCAGTAGCCTTTTCACCGCAGCCTAGTGATCCTCTCTGGGATCCTCCATGAAGCGACTGACGTAGCCCATGGTGAACGCAATATCTGGCCTCGTGTGGACTAGGTAGCGCAGACCGCCGATGATGCTCCGGTGGAGTGTTGCATCTACCTTCATCGTGGTACTGGCCTTCGTCAGCTTTAGTCTTTCCTCCATCGGAGTCACACATGGCTTGCACTCAGCCATGCCGCTCTGCTCCAACAGCTTCGAGGCGTACGCGCTCTGACTGAGTTTGAGCACCTCCTTCCCCTGTCTCACCTCGATGCCGAGGTAGTAGGAGAGTGCGCCGAGATCGCTCATTCGAAAACAAGCTGCCATCTCACGCTTGAAGCTATCGATGTCCTCCGCACGTGCACCGGTGACGATCAAGTCATCCACATACACGCCGACGACGAGCTCCTCCTTCCCCCGTCGCCGTGT